GAGCAATCTGGTGCTAACAGGCCTTGCTGGGAGGTTGCTAGTGACCAATACAGTGATCAGATAAACTATACACTAGCAATGGCACTGGCTGGGATGGTGTTAACTGCCTAAACAAGTGTAGTGTGTAATATGTGCTGCTTTTATTAACGGGTCTGGCCATTTTCTCTCTATGTGTTCACAGTAATCTGTTTCTTCTCCCTGCAGAGGCATACAATTGTCAAGAAACAAGTGTTCTGCGATTGGCTGTGGACCTGATCAGCTGTAGCCAAAATCATTGGCCAGGACCTGCTGACAAAATCAGCTGTAGCCAGCAACAGTAATGGCCAGCAGGGGGCATGCACATCCAAAAGTACATATAGTGTACTTGCCGCAGTATGGACTCATTTACACTCAATAGCACTTTTTTTTTTTTTTGAAGCTTGGCCAAAGCCCTTTTCACACACGTGGTGTGGATCAAAGCTCCAATTTCACAGCGAATTGACACTAGCTCAGCAGGTCATGTCAGGTTTATATCAGGTTCAGGACAGGATTGTATCCTGTTCACATGTGGTTTAGAAACAGTTCCCATGGAAGTCAATAGCCTGTAATCCACACTGCTCAGAAATCATACAACTCTCAAACTGCACTGAATCCACACCACCAGTGCACTGGACACATCAAGCAGTTCAGACCACATGTGAACCAGTACTTAAGTAGCCCAGTAAAACCCTACCTCAGTAGTACCTCCATTGAGCAGACCACCAGCTTCTTAGCATCCATTTGGTGTTGGGACCCTTGTTCAGTAAATTCCCAGCTTAAAAGTACACCCTTTCAGCAGATCACCCCCCACTCAATAGTACCCCAGGCTCTGCTGATCCTTATCTGGTCCCTGCTTGCCCCATGTGACATTGCTAATTTCTCCTACTCTGGAGTGCCAGCTCTGTTGATCCTTTGACAGTCCTCACTCGCCTTCTGACATAGCATTTATGTTTCACACCATACAGGTGAAACTCAAAAAAATGTGAGTATATTGTGCAAAAGTTAAATTTCAGTAATGCAACTTAAAGGTGAAACTGAGATATACTCATTACATGCAAAGCAAGATAGTTCAAGCTGTGATTTGTCATTGTGGATTTGGAGTTTTCATGAGCTGTAAGCCATAATCATCACAATCTCAGAAAATGAGAATATTGTGAAAAGGTGCAATATTCTCGGTTCAAAGTGTCCCACTCTAATCAGCTAATTAAGCCATAACACCTGCAAAGGGTTCATGAGCCTTTAAATTGTCTGTCTGGTTCAGTAGGAATCACAATCATGGGAAAGACTGCTGACCTGACAGTTGTGCAGAAAACAATCATTGGCACCCTCCATAAGGAGGGAAAGCCTCAAAAAGGTAATTTCAAAAGACATTGGATGTTCCTAAAGTGCTGTATCAAAGCACATTAATAGAAAGTTGTGGAAGGGAAAAGTGTGGAGGAAGAAAAAAAAAAAAAAAAGCACAAGCAGCAGGGATGACCGCAGCCTGGAGAGGATTGTCAGGAAAAGGCCATTCAAAAGTGTTGGGTACTTTCACAAGGAGTGAACTGAGGCTGGAGTGAGTGCATCAAGAGCCACCACACACAGACACAGACAGACACACACCCTGATCCTGGACATGGGCTTCAAATGTCATATTCCTCGTCAGGCCGCTCCTGAACGTCAGAAGCATCTTACCTGGGCTAAAGAAAAACAGACCTGGCCTGTTGCTCAGTGGTCCAAAGTCCTCTTTTCTGATGAGAGCAACTTCTGCATCTCATTTGGAAACCAAGGACCCCGAGTATGGAGGAAGAATGGAGAGGCACAAGGACCCCGAGTATGGAGGAAGAATGGAGAGGCACAAGGACCCAGAGTATGGAGGAAGAATGGAGAGGCACACACTGCAAGATGCTTGAAGTCCAGTGTGAAGTTTCCAGTCTGTTGATTTGGGGAGCCATGTCATCTGCTGGTGTTGGTCCACTGTTCATCATTAAGTCCAGGGTCAACACAGCCGTCTACCAGATTTTTGGAGCTCTTCGTGCCTTTTTCAGATTAGCTTTATGGGGATGCTGACTTCATTTTCCAACAGAACTTGGCACCTGTCCACACTGCCAAAAGCACCAAAACCTGGTTCAGTGACCGTGGGATTACTGTGCTTGATTGGCCAGCAAACATGCCTGACCTGAAATCCCAGAGAGAATCTATGGGGCATTGCAAAGAGAAAGATGAAAGGCATGAGACCGAACAATGCAGAAGAGCTGAAGGCCGCTATTGAAGCATCCTGGTCTTCCATAACACCTCAGCAGTGCCACAGGCTGATAGCTTCCATGCCACGCCGCATTGAGGCAGTAATTGCTGCAAAAGGGGCCCAAACCAAGTACATATGCATGCTTATACTTTTCAGAGTTCTGATATTGTTCTATGTACAATCCTTGTTTTATTGATTGTATGTAATATTCTAGTTTTCTGAGATTGTGGATTTGGGGTTCTCATGAGCTGTAAGCCATAATCACAATGATGACAAATCACAGCTTGAACTATCTTGCTTTGCATGTAACGAGTCTCTCATATATTAGTTTCACCTTTTAAGTTGCAATACTGAAATAAATAAACTTTTGCACGATATTCTAATTTTTTGAGTTTCACCTTATGTACTGTGCTAGTTGCTCTGCTCCAGTCCAAACCCAGCTCATCTGTGTAATGTGTGACTGTTGACATCTCTGGTTCACTTTGTCTCCCAGTGCATTCTGGGATCTCATACCTGCAATACCTCCAAAAACAAAGCCTCTCAAAAGCTGCAGGCGCTGTAAGAAAGCTGTCAGACGTCTATGGAGGCTTTGAACAAAGCAACATGGGCTATAAATTTTGAAGTGAAGCAAACAGTACTTTAGCGACAGGGGCTTTGATTGGGAAAGGGGGGGAGGGGGGGGGGGGGTTAGTGCCCAATGCCAAAATTTGAAGCTAGTGTAAATTAGTCCTTAATGTACTATATGGCCAGGTGGCAAGCAGATACTTGGGCTCCATCCTGGCACAGATTTATGTGATTCATAGTCCAAGGCTGACTACCAGAATAGAAATCTCAATACTGTTAAATATAGTAAAGACACAAAATTGCGGCAAGGCTTACCAATGTGTAGGTTTTCAGCATTCCCCCTTCTATTTTGAAAAAACAAAAAAACAAACTTCTGAAAATATTTTAGAGCCATATAAAACCAGTTTTAGGTTATAAAAAAAAAAAAAGTTTGAAAATGAGCAAGACTCATGTATTGCTTACTGATGCCACATGTAACCAAAGTTTATTCAGCAGTGTACTCGCCCTCTATCCTTACTAATGAATTTCATCCTACAATGCTTAATTCTAGAGATCACTAGGCTTGTAAGGGTGACATGCATTGTGTTACATCAGTGTGCAACTCAGTACTTGGGCAAACCAGGTGCAGACTATACAAAGATCTCCTCCTTCCATCACTTTTTAACTAATACTGGGGAGGATTGAGTGCATCTTGTAAATCTAGAAATGGCAAGGCAGTTAACAGCCCCTCAAAAAAAAAAAAAAAAAAAAAAAAATAGAGAAAATTAAGTTTATTGGCAGCATGATAAAGACTTTGCAGTCACCATCAGATTTCATGGTGTAAATTTTTATGGGCAAGATTATACTCCATATTGAGATCCTCTAATACAGTAGTTCTCACTCACAGCCCACAATAGCCAGTTTCAGTGCTAGTTCACACATTTTGCAGACTTGCACTGCATTCCTGTTCAAATCAAATGGGATTCTTTGGTTCAATTTGAGTCATACAAAATGAATGGGCTCAAGTCACACAAAAAGTTTCAGGTCTTTAGCACACTGGAATCATATTGCGTTGGTGATCCAATTCAGCCAATTGCAGTTTTTTTTTTTGGGGGGGGGGGGGGGTCATTAAACTTACATTGATAGCCATGGTGGTTCGCATGAATGGAATCCAAATGTGATCTGGGAAACTGCAAATCCTGCAGTGTAAACCAGCACTCTGATGTTTCCAGTGCAGAATAAAGACACTGCCATTAAGAACACAACTGCCATGAACCATGATGTAGTCTGAGACTGTCAAGATCATAAAGCCAAAAAAAAAAAAAAAAAAAAAAAAACTCATCTGTTAGCTCATGCAACTAATTTAGTCTGATATGAGCCAGCCAATGAAGGATCCTGTCCCAAGCTCCAAAACATTCTTACTAGTAACAAGATAGACAGCAGTTTTTTTTTTTTTTTTTCCATTTTTATTGTAAAACAAATATACAACTTGGAATGGATTTGAGGCAAATTGTGCCATAAGCAGGTTTTCTGAAAAGTGGCTAAACCAAAAGTAAACCTTTAACTGGTGAAGGAGTTTACAAATCACATGCAGACCCTTCAACAGTGGAGAGAAATAGAAAAAAGGGGGGGGGGGGGGAAAGAAAAGTAAAAGCATAGTGATGATGTTCCATACGCAGGTCTGGAGCAAAGAAAATGGGAGGGAAGGCAAAAAAAAAAAAAAAAAAAAAAAAAAAAAAAAAAAAAGATACAAGACATGAACCTGGATATACCAGCTTTGCATTAGTGCAACATAAGTTCAATATTGTTTAACTATCTGTAGTTTAGAGTTGTTTACTCCACATTCCAACAAGCAGACAAGTTACTTGAAGAAATCCAACTTTGGGAGAATAGGGAGGAAAATAAAAATCTGTAGAGCCCAGATAATCCATTGTGTGACCCAATTCATCCAGCTCTTCCATGTGCACAAAGGGCTTTGAGAAAAATCCAGAGTAAGCCACATGCAGCATTTGTTACTTTATCAACTTCTCATGGAAACCAAAAAGAAGGATGTAAAGAAAAAGACAGTGACAGTATGGGAAACATGTCTGGAATTCTAAAATTACTATACATGCAATCTGACAGTAAGGGGGAACATTTTACAGATAAGTTACAAACAAAGAAAGGCAAATAAAACATCTTTGTACAAGAAAATTTAACACATTCTGTACAGTCTTCACTTTGCCGTCATCATTTGTACAAACTCTGCAAGAGAAACAAACAGAAGTTAGGCAACTATTCAAAGACCCTTGACTAGCAAATAAAGGACCCTACAGCAGATTACAAAGGCAGCATTTCAGGTTTTTAAAAAACACTCCAGGCATCACCCCTGGTTATATTAGAGGCACAACTGCCTATAGTGATAACACCTGATCTAACAGACATTTGGCAGCCTTGTTAGGGATCTGAAATCTTACTGCACACATTTAGGCTGGATATAAATCTTTGTTTGGGTATTCTAGTTTTATAGCCATACAGGCATCTCTAAGTGTTGCCTTTTCCTCCAATTGAGCTGTACAAGCTCAGAATGTGCAGAGCCCACTTTATACAGTGTAAAGTTAATAGAGCGACCTCCACACATTTGATTGCAGCCTTGACAGTCTGAGAAGCACGTTTTCTAGGAAGGTCAGCCAGAGCTACCTTATGTATGCAACCTTTTGGGCTGTTACTGTAAATTAATGCCAGTCTAAGTGTAAAGCATGTGTTTGAAAGTAAACTTTAGTTACTATAGAAATGCAAGCAAGGCCTCACCAATCTTAGCTGCAGGCAATGTGCAGCAAATCCTCATTGTTATAGCAGCAAGTTCAAGCTTCTCACCAACTAATGAAATGTATCATTTACAATAAAGTGGTCATTAACCCAAGGCAAGCATAAAATTGCTGCTGTTTTGATGGGGTGCATTCATTTAGGCTCTTTATTGCAAGAGGTTTCAGACCATTAGACCTATAGATGTGGCAGTAAATTGTAATCACACGTCAGTGGTTTGTCTCAACCCTAACATTTTCACCCCAAAAAGTAACTGCCTGAAGCGACTTGTATAGTTTGCTATTACATCTAAACCTAGTTTAAAAAAAAAAAAAAAAAAAAAAAAAAAACTTCCCTCCCCACAGAGATGAACAATCCACTCTGAATGAAGGTGCAACAGGAACACCTTTGGCCAGCAGAAGGCACCCCACTAAAGGTGGAATGTTACAGATTGGAGCACAAAAAAAAGCCCCCAATAACCTTCATAGCTGCAGGCATTTTGTGGAATAATCAAACTCAAAGCAGAAGCACTAAATAGTTTTGCACCCTCAGTAGCCAAGTATGGCCTGCTACATTAGAGATCAAAAGCTGCCTAGTTCCTACTGTGAGAAGCAGAGAGTGAACTGCATAGCCAGTCACTGCTGGAGGGAGATCAGAACTATTTTGACAAAGTGAACTTTAAGGATTTGCTCCAGTGTGTTTTGTAACTATGTTCTACCCCAACTAGTATGTTTTATCCTGCATTAGTAACCAATGGTTACTGGCTGGATTTAGTATAGTCAGCCTAAGTCCCATGCATAAAAGAGTAACTCAAGATGACTTCTACAATTAGCTGGAGGTGCAGTTAAAGTGGTTTAAAGGAAGCACACTTCCCTAGCCATTTGCAGACAGGTACAGCACTTTATTAAAAACAAGACTTTTTAAACCAAAAGGGTAGAAGCAGCACTGCCCTCTTCCTGGTTTAATGGGCAGAGTGACAGGAGCCAACCAAATCCAGTGCTGGATACAGCAGAACTAGGCCGTGTCCATATGCATCGCATGGCTCAATTCTCTACTGTATTGGATTGTGTTTGACAGGAATGAGCCCACACATCTGCCCATAGCAAGCAGCTTGCTATGGGGCACAAGAGGAAGAGTACCAGAGAGCACCAGCATGGGACCCCAGAAGACGTTTGGGGCTGCTCTAAGTGCACACAGCAGGCAAGTACAAACCTTATTTTAGGTGACAGTTTAGCCACATCTGTACAGCCTTAGTGCTGTTGTCGAGATGCAACCCAGACTGAGAGATGGAACCACAAATGCCACCCTAGACAGACTGTCCAGGGATTGTGAGAGGCCCCGATACATGGTTACAAACAGCAGCAAAGCAGGTCACTGTGCTCATAAAGTGTGCATAAGAATAGTATCACTGACAGCAAGAATTGCATATTTGCCAGTGGTAGTCTGTGTGAATGAGACTTAACTTCCCAATACATATGTAGGCAAAGCCTACACAGGTTCAATGTACAGTGACTGATCACAAGCAACCTACCTTCGTAATTTACTTGACCATCTCCATCAATATCTGCTTCCCTGATCATTTCATCAACCTCTTCATCCGTTAACTTCTCACCGAGATTTGTCATAACATGACGGAGCTCAGCAGCACTAATGTAGCCATTACCATCCTAGAACAGAAAACAGTTTGTATGTCATGTGTCCAGACCAAACGCATGGCTGAAGAATTGTCATTGGGAGGAAACAAATCTCCCATAATAGACCCACTGCATCTCTTCAGAAAGTGTTTGAATAACAACCCTTTTACTTATATTGACCCAAACCAAGCATACAGAGCTGCAGATAAGCCACATGGGGATGAAGCTCTGCAGTGTCTCCACTGGTAGCGTTTTTCTGACTGGCACAGGGTCTATGCTGTAATTAGCTCAAATTAAAACCCTAGATAAACTAGTGAATTCTGCAGGGAGAAGTATGCAGTTATGAGGGACAGTGTTTCTCATGTCCTTATTTTTTTGCAAACAAAAGCCTGGAGACTAAAGCATTTTAGAAATGTAAAATTATATGGTGCAAGTTTCAGGCATTAAAGCCTCTGAATACTAGTCATCTTTGGTGATGTCAATTGCTGTGCTGCTCACCATTCCTATAGAGAGTCTGGCATGAGCAAGCTGAGCCCTAACAGGATGGCTGCCTAAAAATGTATAGCAAGTCAGTACCGAGGAAGAGATCTGTAGGGAGCTTACAGGCAGCACCTGCCCCTGGCCATAATCCAGTTCCTCTTTAAAGAGGAAACTGAAAAAAAAAAAAAAAAAAAAAAAAAAAAAAAAAAAAAAAAATCGCATTTTAACTGATGGAAGCCTTAGGCTGGCCATACATTGTACAATTATCAGGAGATTTTTGTTTTAGATTTACCAAAAACCATATAATAGGAGGACAAACCTAAACTTTCAGTTGCATCCAATTAGGCAGGCCCCTTGCACTACACAGTTGAAGGTAAATCTAAAGGAAATTGGGCAGAAAATTGGAAGATAATTGTATAATGTATGGCCAGTCTTAGTCCATGCATTGTTGATTCCCAGTTTAACAGACCTGTACAATTAATGTGTTGAGTAATCTGACCAGCTGTATGTTATACTTCATCAGTACCACAAGTGTGCAACTTGTGTACATACCATTTCTATATAATATTAAGGCAAGTCCATGGCACTCAATGTTGACATAGCCTAGCCACTAATTGACTGCCACAATTCCCTAAGTGTGAGCCTGTGTAAAATCAAACTGGAAAGGCTTATATGCAGACATTATGAATGCAGGTGTCTGATAAAACAGACAAAAAAAAAAAAAAAACCACACACACAGCAACTTTTGGTTTGGTTCAATGGCCCTGAAATCTACACAAAAGGCAACCACAAGTGCTCATGAAGATTAAGTCGTGTGCATGCCACAGCACATATTTAAACAGATTTGAACCAGCCCAAACAGAACGGACTGCTGAGCTAGAACTGGTGTGCAGCCATTCATCCTTCAAAGAGTGAAGGTAAGCTCAGCTGTAGTGGGACCCTGGGCTGGAAAGTCCAATGCTTGGAGCAGCATTTTCTTAAACTATCAATGCCACTGTCCCAACCCACCACTTTACCTGAAAAGCCTGATCTTCATGAATTCATGAAGTGTAGCCCTTTGAGAATTCATATATTGAATCACATTACATCCATTTTCAATGCAATGAATTTGGGGGGGGTGGAAACCAAGCTGTCTAGAAGTGGCAGTTTGAGGCTGCAACAACCCAACACTGTCTGGAATGCTAACAGAAATCTTCTAGCTCCGGTGGCCAAAAAAAAAAAAAAAAAAAAAAAAAAAAAAAAAAAAAAAAAAAAAAAAAAGCGCATTACCTTGTCAAAAACACGGAATGCTTCTCTGATTTCCTCTTCACTGTCTGTGTCCTTCATTTTCCTTGCCATCATAGTCAAGAATTCAGGAAAATCAATTGTTCCATTACCTGTAGAGAAACAAGACCTGTAAGCCTTCATTCAAACGTGCACCAAAATACAGGAGTACAATTGGAGTCATTGACTCCAATTTTCAGCAGAAGCCACTCAAACTGGATTGACATCCTCTAGATCAGGGTCTCCAAGCTTTCAAAAAAAAAAAAAAAACACCCCAAAAAAAAAAAAAAAAAAACACACACACAACGACATTTTATGGTCCTTTGGGGGCTGGAACGTGCCCAGTGGAAGTAAATGCCCAATCTTTGGCATTAGGGGGAGAAATTGTGCCCTATCAGTGGAAGGAATAGTACCCCCACCATTAAGGTCTTTGGCAGGAAGAATGCCTCAAGGGCCAGATAAGGCAGGCAAAGGGCTGGATACCACTTTAGATTTTAGTTAGACCCTTACAGTTTATTAATTGATAAGAGCAGGCAATTTGGGCTTGTCCAAGAGGTTTTGCGCAAGTACAGCACTTACCATCTGCATCTACTTCATTGATCATGTCCTGCAGCTCTGCTTCTGTTGGGTTCTGCCCAAGCGACCTCATCACAGTGCCCAGCTCCTTTGTTGTAATAGTGCCATCACCATCCTTATCAAATAGTGAGAAGGCTTCTTTGAATTCTGGAAACAGAACACCACTCGTTTAAAAATGTATATAACCAGACAACTACACAAGAGTATTAAGACTACAGCAAAGCAGCAGTTACACATACAGCCAATAAGGGAACCTCACCTGGCCAAAGCTGTTTAAAAGCAGCATTAAATAAACTGTTGGAGACATTTATGCTGAAGGATACCATTCGCCTTCTGCCATAAATACTGCCTGCCATTTATGAATTGCACCCAAAAACCGTTTCAGAAGCACAGCTCTGTATAATCCCAGCAAGCCTACAGATGTTGGGATGAATTTCTGTGCATGTCTGGGAGTTGGGTCACCTTGGCCCAGCCAAACAAGACAGCTGAAGAAACTGGAACCTGGCAGCAGATGAAGAAACCAAAGGACCAGCTACAGTAACAAGGCAGATGGGACATTACAGTGATTAAGATGCACTTTACAATAAATTCCCTAAAATTGTTGCACACATACTATTTCAGCTGACCTGAAATTTTAATTCCCCTTCAAGGAATAATGCCACAGTGCCAATTACTTTGTTCCACTTCAGGCCATAAAGCCACAGTGCAAGCTTCTTCTAGTGACTGCAAGTACCCATATTAGTCTTAGAATCCAGTGGGGACCCCCTTAGATTTGAAGCCCAGGAAATGTATGGCATGTCACAATATTCAGGATTAAGCACAGAATCATGACTTCAACTGTCAAAATGCCTCTGATGCCAGCTGAACAGGAATTGTAGGTTTTAGTCTATTTGGGTTGAAGACAAGGATCCATGTAGATGCTGGCTGTACCTATGCACTGCCGTTATGCTGCCATTCCCAAAAATCTGTACTTTAACTTGTCCCAATGCAATAAAAGCAAAAAACAAACTTTACAGCAGGGGTAAATATGGAGGGATTTTAGTTTAACGGATAAGTTTACATCCATCCATAAGATCACTGTGCTATGCAGGTCTCCCCCCCCCGACACATCAGCATATCTGCTTGCTCAGACATCCAGTACAGGCAAACCGATATGCACAGCAAGGTTCAATGAACTACTGCGGTGCACCATGAGGGGGGGATGGCTGTTGGTGCTGCAGTCCCAAGACTGATTTCCCTGGTTTAGGGCAAAGCATGAGACACAGACAGGCACCACCACAATGGAAAGACTACATTCTAGAGATTTAAATAGACCCCTATGCCGTGAAGCAGTACTAAAAACACTATACCAAAGTGGGCAACTTAACTGGAGTGTCTTGTGAAAATCAGAAAAATGTTTAGATCCCAGGGAAAAGCTAGTCAGAAAATCCTATTGAGACAAGCTTCACCAATGAAGATGCATTAAAGTGGAACTAAACCCTACCAAGGAAGCTACCATCGTAACCTCTGGTTTGATCTGCAACTTCCATGGTGCTGCACATGTGATCAGTTATGACACCAGCACTGTGCTGGCTTGACAGTTTGGTTGAAAGCATACGCAAATATGACACTTAGCAGTCAGGCATGCCAGGAATGTAATTTTAAGCTGTTAAAATGGTGTGAAAAGGCTCTTAATAAAATGGGGGTATATGCAGTACTTCATTGCAGTATGTTTGGTAAACACAATGAAGTGTATTTTGTGACAAGTGATGCTCTCACCCAGCAATGTACTATATAGCACACAATGCAGTTGATATGAGCAAGCCTTAAAGCAGACCTTCACTCAGAATTACAACATATTCTAACCGTCTCATTACATGTCATGTTCCCAAGTGCCCTTTCCAGTAAGTACTTGCTCCCAATTCCTCACCTAAGATGACCTAGCCCACAGTATGTATCCCACCCTGGAGGTATACAGATAGCTGGCCACAAACAGCTGTAAGACTCAGGTGCGTATTACATGCAGAGTTTAGAAACATACCTGCAATCTGCTCCTCTGTCAGTTGATCGGCCTGAAAACAAAAAGCAAAAGTGTTAGAAGTGTTTTCCCTCTGACTAAGCAGTATATAGTAAAGTCAAACACTTAGACCTCAGACTTTCACAGCTTGTAGTTATAAGTCAGCCTGCCTTTAACAGGCAATGACTGTCCCATCACATTTAGTTCAATAGGGTCCCCACATTTCCAGTTTCCCATCAAAACAGACAGTGCTGGCCAAGCAGACTTCACAAGCATAATGAAAGTGTTTGCCTGATATCCAGAAGGATCCAATTTTAAAAGGCATAGAGCTACTCTACATCTTAAAGGCTTAGACATGCTGTATATTTTCCATGAAGTGACACTGTACTGATACAGACAGGACTTCCTGCAGACCTCTACATTTGGCATTAAACACAAAGTGAAAATGGCAACTAACCAGACTCATAGTAAAGTGACTGCTGATATAAAAAAACGCTAGATTCCCGAATGATCCTCATACAACCAGCTATGGTTATAGTACACCTGTTATAAAAAGTTCCAACACACCAGCTATGTACTTCACTGCCACCAAAGGAAGATGCAAATAGATAGCCCCATCTTAACGCAATAAAAATGCCCAGATGTTAAAGTGGATCTTCAGTCTCAAACACCATTTTTAATCCTTATGCTGCTAGCATTGGTAACTAGAGATACCACCACTTGTTTTAAAGTCCCCCCCCCCCCCCCCCCCCCCCGTTACTGCCTGGTTTTCATGCCTAGGCAAATGTCATACATCCCAGAAGTCTTCAGAAGGGGATTCTCTCAGCCAAGCATGTCCCCCTATGTCTGAGATAAGGGCAGATGGATTCCAGAAAGTAAATGCTACTAGCATTGTCTGCCCTTACTCAAGATGGCCACAGACAAATGAGAGGGACTTTACCAAAGTGATCTCAGCAAAATAAAGCATGAAGACACGGATGGATAGGGTAGTTTGCTTTGAATATTAAAATGAATTAAATTTGCGCTGCTCAGTGTAGTTCCACTTTAAGGAAGCCATTTAAATTCAAAGACAACTGATTAACTATTGAAGCAAGCTGGTCATAAAACTGAAGACATCAAAAAATACTAAATATTATGGACCAACTGGCAGCAGACATGCAACACTACCTTTGTGAGCGATGCAGCTGCTGATCAGCAGTCACTGAGGCATGTAATGTAATGAGCAGATTATATCAGATTATCCTTATTCATGGTCAAGACCATGCTGACCTCTGTACAGATGCCATCTAAAAAGAAACCTTCAATTTTCTCTGCATTCACATCTAAAAATACCAAGAAACCATAAAGCCTGTAATCTGAACCACCACACAAAGCCCAATGCTGGTCATACACAAGGTAATAAGGAAATGTCAAGCAGCCTTCAATCACAACTGCTGCTGTCAGTCACATCATGTGAGCAGAAGAATAATGGGGCTGAGCCACACCGTCTTTGAACAGTCCAGCCTACATATCTGCCACCATAACAAGTGGCTTGCTATAGGGCAGACGAAGGAGCCAAGATCACCAGCAAGGGACCTCAGGAGAGGAAAGGCCACTGTAAAATATTGCAAGGATATGGTTTATTCAAAATTGCCTTTAGAAGCACTTCAGCTCAAATCAGTACCATCCTTTATAGGAAAGGTAGCTGCCATCTTTGCCTCTGATCTGCAGTTGCCATGGGGCAACATGTGAACAGCAGTTATGACGACACCAGCCATTTAATGAAAACCAACATAACCACAATAGTAACCAACTTCTAAAGACTTGCAGGCAGCTGAAATTTTGAAGTTGTATGAAAAAAAAAAAAAAAATACTGCTGTAACTGTTTAAAGTAGAACTATGGGCAAAATGTTATTTTGGAGTAAGGGAGCGTTATAATCCCCGATTTATACACACGTCCCATTAGGGATATTTACTTTCACTTCCTGTCCCATAGACAAACCAGGAAGTGAGGAAAGTCCCACAAATTGAGGGAATTTCTTGGGGTCCCAAAGGTTACCAAAACCAATTTCCCCATTCGCAATACTCTATTTTTCTGGGGACAACAAGATTTGGGGTTTACTTTCACTTTTGAAAATGAACATGACAACTAGAGACTGAATCTCCGCAACAGGAAAGGGGGGCACAGACTGCAAGAAAAACCTAATCTACCTCCACTATATCCAAAGCCAAGAAAAAGCTCTTTGGTTACACTAGCATATGTAAAATCCATTGAACACAACCTTCTATGCTAACACAAGTGACCAGCTAAAGCTTAACTCCAGGTGAGACATTGATGCTCTCTATATTCAGTGATTGGTGACCCCAGTCTACCTAAAGGAATAAAATCTTAAACAACTAATGCAGACACCAAACCCAAAGAAGGTCAAGGTAATCTACAATACATTAAAGTTTATTTTTTTTCTTTAAATCAAAAGTCTTTTGGTCCCCCATTGGTGCTCTTAAGCACCCTTTCAGCAAGCCCCATGCTGAGGAACACCCATGCAGGCATACTCCAGAGCCAGGCTGTGTCCATAGACCAGGGGTGGCTAACCTGCGGCTCTCCAGCTGCTGCAGGACTACAAGTTCCATCATGCCTCTGCAAGTCAGTAACGTCCCATCTTTGCAATGCCTCATGGGAAATGTAGTTCCACAACAGCTGGAGAGCCACAGGTTAGCCACCCCTGCCATAGACAATATGGTGACACCTGCCACACCAAATCGCTGACAGAACGCAGCAAAGGCTCCTACAGCAGCCAAGCACTGGATTGAGAGAACAAAGGCCAAGTGTTTAGGGATTATGGAGGTTGGAGATGCTGAGGTTTTACCTTCATGCAAGAAATGTGTTCAGGTAAAACCTTGTTTTTAGAACCACTTTAAAAACCAAACTTGTGCATTAAGGGGTAACGATCGGCTGGTTCAACAGAAAGCGGCTGACATTTGGCACATGTGTGCCAATGGCTGTGGGTGCTGACTGGTGAGTTCTGGCAGAAGACAATCGCTCAGCAACGAGATCACTGTACTAACAGATAGTACAGCAAGCTCCTCCCAAGCTCTCAATTCCAGCCCCTCCCCCAATCAAAAACTGATAGTGTGTACCCAGCATTAGGGGTAGGGGCCCTGAGGCTCAAGTTATGTGCATCCATGGTAAGAAGTATCTCCTCCACCAGCTAGTGGCATATTCATCTTTAGTTTAATACTTTGCTTTAAATAAAGGGCAAACCAGAAAATTTCCAAGTTGGCGATACCACCACCCCCTCCCCCACCCCTTAATTCCTGCTCCTGTGACAACTCAATTGCAAATTAACCTCCCCAACACAGGGAAACAGATCAAAAACCTGATGGTGGTTCTACTGCTACACCTACATTTTAGCAAAGCCAAACTAAAAAGGCAGTTTTTCAAACTTTTCCCTTACGGTGGCATGGTCATGTTACCATTAATTGTTTGAACAGTTTCTGAGAAATAACAGAAATCCATCAAATATGAATGTTCTTAATGTAAATCCCAAGACTAAAAAAAAAAAAAAAAAAAAAAAAAAAAAAAAAAAGGAAAACATGCTTCTGTATGATACCTTATTCAATAAAGTGCAAGAATTTAGAGTTAAAGGCAGGCTTATGTCACCATGAAATGGCCCACAATGCCATGGCGGGAAACCCCAAGCCAACAGACAAGTCTACTTACTTCCCACCCCCCCTTTAGGGCTCATTCTTCACACCATGCTGCAGATGTCAGTTTCTCTGCACATGTTCTGCAAGGGCACAACTCCATTGTTCTCTATCCGCCCTAATCACACCACTAGACTAGTAACGTGCAGATTTCTTTCTGCAACATGTATAAAGCCCATTGAAGCACACATTATAAACAATGCTTCTGTCAGTTTTCAGTACATATGGTGTGACTAAGGCCTTACAGTGAAAGTCATCAAAAACAAGTCCTGGATGTAGTTTGAGAAGCATCAGTTGTTACTCAGTTATAGATAAAAATCCCAAAATTACCCCCCCCCCCCAAAAGCACTGCTAGATCCAACCAATTACATGGATGTCACAACTACACCTGCCTACAGAAGGCCACAAGCATGTTGCAGTTCTTTAACCCACTAACCGGGCAACAAGAGACTTGTTGCTCTGTGCAACAAACACTTTTGAAGATCCTAATGAATTTCTAATTCTAGGTTGTAACCACATGATTTAATGAGTGAACACTACAAAGCACTGAACATGAGGCACCCATAATTTAATACAAAGGTTCTGCTTCCTGTTCAGTAATATGGCACTTAGGCCTCAATTAGATGTGTGGTTTGAGGCAACAAAATGCAGTTGAACTGTTTTAGTGCTCCCCCCTCCACCTATAAAGGGCAGTGGATAGGGGTGTTTACAATGCTTTGCACCACTGGTAGGCAGAAAGCCTGCTAAACGTGACCCATTCAAGTGAATGGTGAAACACAAACACCCCTGATACAAGGCACATGACTGCTGTGGGGTTTTGGCAAAAATGGAGTTAACAGGTGGCGAGGGGGCACCACACTGCCTGTCAATTGCCTCTGAAAAGCAATATACACTGAAATGCCCTTCAGAGATGCAGTAGATTTAGACATGTCAATCTGCCCTTACGGTTCTTTCCTCAAAGCTATAGATTATGCCTAATAAAGTTAAGCAACTTAAGAGCTCTATTCCATGTTAAACCTGCATTTTAACAATGCAAGGCAAAAGTTTCCAGGAGCTGCACCACCCCCAGCCCCTGACCCCCACAGCAGAATATATTTGTCTTTAGTAAAATAATCCACTGCCACAAAAAAAAAAACAAAAACAAAAAAAAAAAAAAAAAAACCCACACACACAAACTTATGGAGGCTACACCACATCAAAAAAGGAGGGAAGGTGCTGCTGGTGGAGCAAGTGAAAGCTTTGCCTGGAACCTTTGATTTTTGAACCAGATTTGCATTTAAAAGCAGAGAAGAGGCTACAATTTGCAGAGCTCTCCTTTAACGTGCCATTGTCTTAGCTTCAGCTCATGAAGTATAAAGACACCCCTTTGCAGCT